ACGCACATACCTCCACCCCCAACGCAGCCACCGCCCTCCTCACCCCTTCAGCTTCCACACGTCACAGTTTCGCATTAAAAATGTAAATCTAACCTCATATTTAATTATTCTAACAGCATCTCCTCCTAACATATCTCTCACAGAACTTTTCTTCTTAACATATTTAGAAAAATATAAAGTTTTTGGCTTTTACATGTTAATCAATTTCCCCCCCAAACACGCGGAGCATTTAAAGAAATCTTAAATGCGCATTTTCGCTCATTTCTTACATGTAATAGCTGTAAATTAAACTTTGCGATTAATAAAAAGTGCAGATTGTGAGAGAAAATTATTTTATTGGGTCGCTTAATTTATTATTCAGAATGAAATAATCAGAAATCTTTTGTAAAGAAGCATCAAAACTGTGAAAATAAGAGGGGAAAACGGAAGAAGCGCGTTTAAATATTTTGGTGACTTTTTGTCACGTTTGTTTCTGCCTTAAACTGATAAAGTTTGTTGGTTTTGTCCTGGTCTCACTGGTGGTGCTGTGTGTCCCTCCTCTTCCTCACAGTCAGAGCACACAGCAAAGAAGACTCCAAGGAGGAGGAGTGCGGCCGAAAGGACGAGAGCTTCTCCATGGACAGCGACCTGGACTATAGCTCGGACGACAACCTCACCTCCATGTGCCACAAAGAGGACGGAGACGGAGGAGGTCTGGATGAAGGCCCGCACCTGCACGGGCCCCCCGGCGGCGGCTCCGGGACGGGAGGAGGAGGCGCGGGGGGCGGAGGCGGTGGGAAGAACCGGCGGAGGAGGACGGCGTTCACCAGCGAGCAGCTGCTGGAGCTGGAGAAGGAGTTCCACTGCAAGAAGTACCTGTCCCTCACCGAGCGCTCCCAGATCGCGCATGCGCTCAAGCTGAGCGAAGTGCAGGTGAAGATCTGGTTCCAGAACCGGCGCGCGAAGTGGAAACGCGTGAAAGCTGGAAACGTGAACAACAAGTCCGGGGAGCCGTCCCGGAACCCCAAAATAGTGGTGCCCATCCCCGTGCACGTGAGCCGCTTCGCAATAAGGAGTCAGCACCAGCAGATGGAGCAGGCCAGACCGTAGAAGAAGAAGCGGGAGGACCGAGGCCGGACTGAGAGGCCGCGAGCCGCGTTTAAGGGGGGAGGGGTTGTTTAATTGTGAAAATATCGGATTCAAGATTTTCAAAAATCGCAGAACTCATTAAAAAAAGGAAAGAAAGAAAAGAAAGAAACGTGAATGAGTTTAATGTGATGGGTTTATTATTTTTTATAGTTTCTATTTTAACAGATTTCTTTCATCGAAGCTTAGAGAAAAGAAAAAATATCAAATGAAGTGAATGAAACTGATCTGAAAATGTGACAAATTCAAACATAAAGGAGGATAATTCAAAATAATCATGTGATTATTTTTCATGAAGTAAAATCTTTAAAAATCTTCTCACTGCAGCGCTATTACTTTCGGGATATCTTTGCGATAATAATTATCTTTATTACATTTCATTTGATTTTTATAAAATAATTTTACATCATTGAATTGAGAAATCAGAAAAAATAAAAAGTAAAATCTGAAAATAATTATTATTCATCACTGTTTAAAGAGGTGCGATTCTTTTCTCTCTTTTTTTTTCTTTTTCAAACTGCGGCACCGATGCAAGAAAATTCCGCTTTTTCTGAACGGAGTTGGTTTGATCATAAAACACTGTGGACATCTCCACAAACTAGGAACCCGACTGACTGCAGAGGCTGACTCCGGACTTCTTCTTCTCTGCAGGAAGTTAAAAAATAAATAAATAAAAGAACACCTGAAGCCTGAGCGCGTGACTGAGCGGCACCAAAAACACAAAAGAGACAGAGAGAAAATTGCGGCAGGAGGAGGAAGACTCAGACTGACGGGTTGTTTCGGCAACATGTTGATCAACCCACACCCTCTCCCCTCCTACCCCCACATGTACATACTTCCGGGACCAAGCAGAGGAGTCGTGTGTTTTGTTTGGATTGAATGAAGCTGCTAATTTATTTACACAAAACTTGTGACGAGAAACAAAAAAAAAGATGAATTAAAGTGTGAATTAAAAGATGATCAGATGTTGAACAGCTGCAGTGTCTCCATTCATGCCCGGAAATCATCTTCATCTTCCTGCCACTTTAGTTAAACTAAATAAATAAAAAACACGGGCATTTTTTTTTACCAACATCATCAATGACAGCTAGGCCGGAAGTTTGTATTTTTTTTTACAAAATAAATGTCTAGATTATTATTATTTTTTATTCTGAAGGCCTTAAAGCTGATTTCAGACATGAAGGAAACGCAACAAAGCTGAAATGAGTCAGAAAAACTAGGTTAAAGATTAAATTCTAAAACGTTTTATTATATTTATTTATAATTTGCTTTAAACTGCAGTTTGAGTGCACTTTAAATTTTAATTGTTAAAAAAATGAAAACAGTATTACAATGTCGTTAAACTTTGATGTGTATTCAGCCTGTTGCGCGGACTGAATTGCGCATTCTCGTAGCATATTAACAAAGTTTCAGGCAAACGGGAGCGCGCCATGGCGTCTCCACCGAGAGCATTATCCAAAAACATCAGCGGCTAAACAAAAAAAGGAAGAGGAGAAATTCACCTGAACGTGACGTCATCCCACCAGCTGCACGTGCCTGCATGGCGGCGATGGTGGTTGAGGTGGGGGGCGGCATGAGGCCTCACGTTCTCGCCTGATATCAGAAACTGCGTCCTGATTGGCTCTGAAGTTTACCTGAAACAAAATTAAATCCTCAGAGTGAAACCCAGGAGTCAGTTTGGATGTAGATGCGCCTGTGCGCACTGACGCATGCGCTGTTTAGGCCTATTATCACATTAAAAAAATAATCTCACCCTTAAAATATTCCCCTTTTCAGAGTGGCTTGAAGAAAAGGAAACATGTGGATACAGTTGCCCGTGATGTTTTTTGATGTTGAAGCCTTTTCAGGTATTATATTGATAAAATGAAAATTTATTGCACATTTCAGACTCTTAATGAAGAAAATAACAAATGTTCTTCGGGTTGTTTTCACTTGTAAAATTACAGTAATTTAACGTTTACTTAGTCTGTTTTTATACAGAAATGCGGGAAATTTAAAGGTACATTTCCGACACTTTTACTCCTCAAAATACTGGCACCGTCACACTCTATACAAGAAAAAATGTTCTCATGTGCAGCAGCCTGAGTCAAATCCATCATCTCACCCACAATTAGCAATTTGGCCAAATCTAAATGAATGACTGCATCTTTAAATCTAGTTTCTTTCTGCTCTAACGTTAGCTTCCCGCTTAAATTCTACAGTTTCTACATGGACCCTGGTTATAAGCGAGGAAGTAAAGGCTCTGTCTTCACCCGTTGCGTAATTGTGATGATTGTCGTGATGTCAGAGCTGTGGATGAGGAATTCTGAATTAATGTGACTCTAAGTGTCAATAAAAACCAGATGTGAGCTCAGAGTAAGGCGACAGAAACCTAAATCCGGACTGGACCCTGCATAGTGTGAACAGTCAGCGCTGCCTGCGACTCTAATGACTTTTTTTCTTTTTTTGCAAATTGTAATCAACTCGAGCCGTCGCAGGCGACTGATAAATGAGACCCGGGGGATCAGCCTCAGCCCAGCTACCCCCGCCTCCCTGAATTAACACCAACTCGCCCGGCTGCAGCTCAGCTCCTGCTGATTAATTCTGACGTCAAGGAGGCCAAAACGCATCTTCTCCTTCTTCTTCTTCTGTGGTGGTCACCACAGGGAGATCACTGAGACTCCTGTAATTAAACGATTCCCAGAAGCCCTTGGAAAAGCTGACAGATTCTCTCATTCAAAACTCCCACTGAAAAAATCCCTAATTTTAAATTTTCATCAAGCAATAACTTGTTTGAGTTTGATGTAATAAAAACTTTTTAGGACCTAAAAAACAACCCCATCCCTTCTCTCATTTTAGATTTCCATCCCACAATAACCGAAAACAAACAAGTGAGTTTCTAATAATGACAAAACAACAAATATATTGATTTCTGAATCTTTAACACTCTGGAAAATGTTAACTTTAGCTTTTCGAAGCTAAAACTTTTAACATGATTGAGTCTCTCAAACTCCAGTTAAAAAAATCCCTAATTTTAAATTTAAATAATTCAAAAATTGTCAGGTTTCTTATAGAATAATAATAATAATTTTGAGTAAAAGATAAACAAAAAGAGACTTTTCTTGAGTGTCACCTGCTGATGAAGATACCATAACAATGGACGAAAGATGCTAAAAATCTAGTAGATACATATCCAACAACTGAAAAATTTCTGCTTTAGTGGTGAGAAGTAAAACCTCATTTTGGTGTAAATCTAACACCGCATTCTGACCCTTCCATCTAAATGTCACAGCAGAAACTGAGGCTCATCAGACCAGGTAACATTTATTTTTATCTTCTATTGTCAAGTTTTGGTGAGCATGTGTGAATTGTGAGCTGCTTTGGTCTTCTGCTGCTTCTACATGTTGTGTGGTCAGTGATGCTTGTCTACATACTGTGGTTGCAATGAGTGATGATTTTAGTTGCTGTTGCCTTCAAAGAAGTCTGGCCATTCTCCTCTGACCTGGGAAAAGATATTTTCTCCCAAAGAACTGCCACTTACTAGACTAACCCTAACCCTCACTCTTTTGGCCCATTCTCTGCAAACCTCAGAGATGGTTTTGGGGCAAAATCTCAACCATTCTTAAACTTTGACTTGTTTCATCATTTTAATGATTTGTGGGCTAACCAGAACTAATGAACTTTGTAAAGTACCACATCAGAGTGGTTTATGTGGTTTTATGTATACTTTTACATTATGGTAATACTCGTTCGCCACCTCCTACACCACAAATAGAGAAAACTAATATAAACCAAAGTAAAATTCCCACAGGTGTGACCAGGAAATGAAAGAAAATATGAAATACATGCCTAAATATTGAAGAAATCCACTTCAAAAACACTGACCACACACACACTTCAAGTTATAATAAGAAGCATTATTCTTGTCTTTATTGAAAAGAGACACATTACAGTAGAAGACTCTGTATTAGGTAGAATTTTCATACAACGGTACTGTACATCAAACAAAAATTCAATAACAATAATAACAACAACATCAACAACAATAATAATAATTATTAGATTAACAGTGACAATAAGAACAATAATGTGTCTGGATGATAAATCAGAACAACAATAATAAAAAGTGGATGGAGAAAATTATACAAAAATGTAGGTTTAAGGGGGCCGAGTCTTCCTCGAGGGGTGCATTTATAAATAATGTAGTGGACAGCCCAGTTGGGTGGGGTTAAGGAGGCTACATGAGGTAACACAACTAGACATTGACCATATTATTTCTTCGTTCTGTTGATGTCTATGTACAAGTGTTGGCGGTGGCGAGAGCAGTGCAGACATATTAACGCAGTTACCATGACATAATTTATCTACACGCAGGCGGCTTCAGCCGAAAGATCCTAGGCTAGGAAACATATTGCGCCATGCTACTGGCCACTGAGCTAACTGACCGCTAGCTGGAGCTTCACAGCATGTTTTAGCTTCAAAATATACACAAAAACAGATATTTTCTATGTTTTCTCCTCAATTATGAGACTAAGAAAATGTGAACGGAACAACAGAAACATCTGTGAAGAGTCAAGTCTTCATACTCAAGGAGATACAGCACCCCATATGCTCTGCTAGCAGAGTTTAGCTAGCTGCTCTTCACACCATGTTTCTATTATCCACATATTGTTTTCATGTTCTGCTAAACTTCTAATGGAAAGCAGATGACTGACTTAGATTGTTTACTTGGAAGCTGGGAAAATCTTTTTTAAAACAATGTTTGTCACAGTTTGCATTTTTATGGTGGGAAGTTTAGCTTATGCCCCTCTTCCCCTCACTTAGCTTAGTTCAGTTAACATATCTACAGCTTATGAGCCTCGATGTTTCGATTCTCTATTCCTATTTCACTATTTATTTGATTAATATTTAAAAGGGGAAATGCACTGTTAACCTAAAACAATGCTGGCTTGCTCACTGCTAGGTGTTAGCTTAGGTGACAGATGACTCAGCAATTTTTCGATTTTAGCTTTGAGTCTCAAACCTGAATGAGCATAAATCTGCAGCAAAGTGACAACTAATGTTCACCTCCTCTCTATTAGCTATCACCAGCTAACTGATCTCTAGTTGCATTAACAAGCGCTTGTAAACGGAAACTCTAGCGCAATGCTCTCGTTAGTTTGTTTACTACTATCTACAGTTAGCATTATTATTAATTACAATTCAAATTTTTCTGCTCACACGATTTTAAAATAAAATAAATACAATTTTATTCTAAAGAAAACAACCTGAAGCCGCCACCGCTTAGAAAAAGCCAATGTCAGTTACTGACAGAACATAAAGGAAGATGGTAGAAGAGTTGTGTTTAAGATAGATGAAATAAAGCAGTAAATTAGTGCATTTCTGTCATAAATAAATGGACGTCTTTTTTCCTTGTCCTGTTTCTGGACAGCTGTGGGATGGGTCAGATATGAAAACAAACTAAAATCATCCAATAAAAATAATAGTCTTGGTTTGTCATTTACAGGAAATAGAACGGCGTCTTGAAGATGACTGGTAAGGAAAATGGAGCGTGACACATATAGCAACAACAAAAATTAGGAACATCAAGGCAGGCGTGCAAAAACAAAAAAGGCAAAAGGAGGACAAATGTGTTCATGTTGATAGAAAAACATTTGTTTCTTGCTTTTTGATCCTTCTTCCATTTCTACAGTGTGTTTTTGTGTTTTCATGTGAATATTAAAGCGATGTTAGCATACAAAGTTAGGATGTGAGCGTGAAGGTTTTTATGAATATTGCTTGGATACACAGTCGGGTTGAGAGCTGCTACTCAACCGCTGCAGCAACATTTACATTAGAGGGCGAAACAGGAGAAAGTTGAAGATCTGAGCTGAGGAGCAGCATACTGTCTGAATCATCACATAAATGTTGAGTTTGGGAAACTAGTTCCCCAACTATCTTCACCTGAAGGCCTTCATTCTACACATTTCAACAACCAACGGAAAAATCTATATCACCAGGATTAAGAAAGGTGTTTTTAAAACGCCTGAAATCAACCTGCAACCCTATCATTTAATCCAAATGGACCTTTGTGCCAGTGGTTCCCAACATTTCTAGCTCATGGTGATTTTAAAATATAAGGGCTAGTATGAAGTAAACTTCATCTTGTCTAACAGTTAATGGCTATGCAGACCAATTGGACAAATGTAAACACATCCATAAACATTCAGGGTAGTCTTAATGTATGCTGTCCACTGTCCAGCTTGACTTTGTCCATGTGCTCATTAAATAATCAGATTTGAGCCTGACTCAAACTCAACCACATCTAGTGCTATTGTGGCCCCAAATGCCCCCAAAAGTAAACTCAACACTTTTATACTGCGTCTTAACTTAATTTTTACCACATTTGTTAAAGTCAGGGTAGACCTAAATTTGAGAAGATGTAGACGTTTTATAAGCTTCCCTTTGGGTTTGTTCTTTCTCATTAAAAAAGCAACTTGGATCTGTATTTTCTGATTTCCTTTGCTGTAAACCGTCCGTTGACCCTTTAGTCTGTAAAGATTCTCATGTTGGGAACCACAGGTTTAGACACCTGCAAAAGTTTTTCTTCCTGGTTTCTTCATGGTTCAGCACAGAGCCAAAACCATACCATAACACATTAGAATAAACCACTTCCACTCTGCAACCTCACATACTCTAAGTACTTACTGTGTTCTCTAATTTACATGATGCTTCGAATGAAAGAGAGAAAGCGGCAGAGAAAGAGAGGAGGATTATTTACAACAAAGACGTTTTCAGACCAGAGAAGAAGAAAAAGAAGCCCTTCTTAGTGATTCGCTGAGCAGATCAGGGAGACTGCCTGATTGGACGGGATAGATAAAAAAGTGGCGGTGATGGCAGGGGCCACCAACTGTCTCCCCATCATTGTGTCTGGATAGATAGCAAACATTAAACCCCCCCCCAAAAAAAAACCAAAACAAAAACACCTGAAGACAATAATTTCCCTTTTTTGCTCCGACAGCTGCTTCTGTATCTTTTCCATTTTTTTCCATTAATAAAATTAACTTCAGGGATAGAGTTCAGATTAAATGCTTTTTCATCAGGATGTAAACCAGGTTTGGGTTTAAGATGCTTACAGTTCACTCAGTTCAGACGATAAAACCTTCAGCATAAGAAAAGGTTTGAAATCCTACATATAGATGCTCATCAGCAGGTTAATTCCCAGCTAAGCCAGGATGTGGATGGCAAACCAAATTTATAAACCAACTTATGCCACAAACTATCGGCAACATACAGAAAAATGTTCAACCGCTCGATCGACCACTTTGCTCTTATGGTGATTAATGAATAATGCAACGAACATGTTTCAAAAAGTGCAACTTTTACGTTGAAGCCGAATGGTCCCCATTTCCAGCTTTTGTCGCACCCTTTGCAGTTTTACTATCGCTTGGGCAAGTAATTGGTCAGTGTTTGCAGACAAGGAGCGTCTTCCAAGCAATTGCAAGAAGGTTTTCAGTACAGTACTGTACACCTCTTTGCAACCACCTAGTGACTGCCAGCAACCTCTAGCGACCAGTTGCCAACCAGTGACCAGTGGCTGCCAGAGGGCCACCAATCGATCTCTTGGTTCGATGCCTTAGGCATCCAACCAATTAAGTGAAGCCAGCAATTTTGAGCAACTTGAGTGCTGAATGTAGTCAGAAGTAAGTGAAGTGAAAACAGGTTGTTTCATCTAAAGAACTCGCTGGGAAAAAAGACAATGAGCGCTGACGATCGACAGTCCCCAGTCCCTGAGCCTGGCAAGAGCTTCTGTACACTTAATGACTTTATACACCCGATAGCTTAAAAAAAAGGAAAAACAAAAACCCTTCCCCTGTTAGCATTTTTTTACCATTGGTCCAGCAATGCACATCGAGATACAATATACACAGTCGAGAAAAATGCCTTAAATTAAAGTAGAAAAAGTGTCTAGGACATGCGATCTATCACACTTATGTTTTACCTCTAAGCTGATATTTTTTTTTAACATCAAGATTTTTTTCACATTAAAAAAAAAGAACAAAAATGTGTAAAGCCGGTTGGTTTGCAGAAAATTTAAAAAAATGACAGCTGAAAGAAGGTGAAGAGGTCGTAAAGAATCCTCGAGAGATTTGCAGTGAAGATGATGTTGATGGGTGGCTGCCTCAAAGAAGATACGAAGACTTGAGTTTCCTTCTCATTGATTTGATCTCACAGTTTCAGGTTGTGGACAGAAGATGATATGCTTTGAGTTCAGTTTGTTGTTGAGTCTGAGCGGGAACTGGCCTTTGTAGTGTGAAATCTGAGGCTGTGTGACGAGGTACAATATAACTCATTGACCTGCACAAGTCGTGTGACCATTTCCCAAAATGCTTTGATGATCGTGGGCTATGTTTCCCAACATGCTTTAGACTTCTTCTCCCAAACAGACGCCTGGCCGCAGCGTCACCACTGACCTGTGATCAGTTTACTGGTGGTTGTCAGGTGAAGTGGGCAAAGCTAAAGTAGTGGTTCCCAAAATAAAACGTTCAGGATACTCCCAAATCGAAGTTTGTTTATTTTTCTCAGAGTCATCACAGGAAACTGTCTGGTCATATGAGCGCGGCACTGCCGGCGCTGCTGCAGCTGTTGTTACGATTGGTGTTGCGGCGTGAAAGGTTGGGTGTGGCCATTAGGGGGTTGCGTTCATCTGGGCAGCCATACTGAGCCAGCGTGTCCACACACTCCTGACAGCTGGCCTGGCGAGCATATGCCATTGCACTGTTGCCATGGGCGTCCCTTGCCATCAAGTCCACACCGTACTGCAGAAAGAATCAGAGAGGGATAGTCATCAATCATCTCCTGCCTCTAAAGCCCAGAATTACTGGAATACCAGCACTGTTTTTTCTTACCCAGATAAGGAGCTGCGTGATGACCACGTTGCCCTTGTGGCTGGCCAGGTGCAGCGCGCTGCGTCCATCTCCTTCTCCGCAGGTCTCGTTGACCTGCTGTCGGGACCCGTGAGCAAGCAGGAGCACGACTGCACGTAGATCCTCCTCGGCGGTTGCCCTCAGCAGCTGCTGGCCCAGTGGGAGATCAGTGCAGGGCAGCGACGCCAGAAAGAGACGCTGCTCGTACTTTGCCCGGATCCAGCGCTCACGCTCCTCCCTGATGGAGAAAAGAGAAACAGACACCTTTAAGAACTGACAGCTATCTAATGGCTGTAGCATGAAGTGTCATATTGCTGCCCGAAACATGAAGCTGTAAACAGACTTTTTTGCTTTTGATTTGGACGTAAATTTAGCTTTAATACAACAACTAAACAAGCGTTTTTTGCCCTTAAATGCCCTTAAACTCTTCCTTTGAGTGTAAAATAAGACACAGCGAGAGGCAGAGGGACAGACGTGGTGAAAGGCCAAAGGACGTGGACGCATTGTTCGCCGATCGAGTATCATTAACTGCTGATCTGTCTAATCCACAACTCTGATCGCTCTAATCTCTGCTCTAATCCCTCCGTGTAAACAGCAGCTCATTCAGCCTGCTGGGATTAGTCCAGAGAGAGGACAGAGAGGAGGGAGTGTGTGGGGGCCGAACAGCCCTAGGGGAGAGATATTGAGCTGTCCCCCCTCCTCCCTTGCCCCTCTACTCTATTCTCACCCAGTAACAACACATCCTTCAGGGGTGAGATGGGAGGTTGCAGAAAATGGAGAAAGAGTAGAGGTTAAAAACTCTTCTTACTGCCTCACTCATTTTTTACTGGCACCCAAATAATCGTTCATCTAAATTTGGCTTGACTGTTCTTTAGATTTGATTGGATTCCTTTAGATTATCGTTTGTTTAGGTAGTTTTCAATATCAACAGTGAACTGAACCACAACCATAGTAACATAGTGAAGCCTCGACTTTCTGTGGTTCGGTTTGGGTTTGCACGCTCATCGACTACCAACTTGTAACTGAGAAGTCTTTAGTCAGCAAGGTAAAGGACTGATGTGAATGCCAGCATGAGTGAAGGATGTTGCTTTATTGATAGATGATGGGGCACAAAATATGCAACCAGAGTGTCTACGAGTGATCAGCTGTCAGCTACATGCTATGGGCCTCAAACAAATCTCTTTATACATGGACAGTCATCCAATGCTTACACGTTCAAAGGCACTCTAACAAGTTCAAGGTTCAACCCTCAAGCAACCAACCAAGTTAAAATGACAGAGTATATAAAGGAATACTTTACGCTGATTTAACCCAACTCATCTGTCACTTTGGCCTCTATGTACCTGCTTTTTGAGCAGGAACTCTTGCTGCTTTAGGTCTTTCACTTCAAAACATCACAGATTAGAAAATAGAATCACAATTTCAGTGCCCCTTCTACTTGAGTCAATGTAAAATTACTGCAGACCTCTGGTTGATCTCTTACAAATCACCATTTCTGCACACAATCATGCAAATAAAGCTGTTTTTTTTTGCTTTTCCATTCTTTACCCTTGGACACACAACAGTTCTTGGATCTTAACTGTGATTACGGCACTTTCTACACTTAAGTCACCTGTTAAACTCTGACTCAACCCATCGTCTCCCGATAGAAGAATCTGTGTGATTATGAAATTTGGCGTAGTGTGTGGAGTAAAGTGGGGATGCTGGGAGGCTTGATGGGAGACAAACTGTGGGAACAGTGAGTGTTAAAAGTTTAAAAAAGAAGTTTTCAGTCAGTGTGGGAACCTGCAGAATCTCATTAACTCTCTTCCTGGATACCAGTGTGAGTGTGTGTGCAGGGGTGTGGTGGCGACGGCTAGCATCACGGAATGTCCCGGGGGCTTTCCCTTCCTGCCCCAGCCCAGAGAGAGAGTAGGGAGGCTGGGCTCCAGACTACGGCCGACAGCCCCCGGACAAAGCCTGGAGGTGTCGCTGGGTGTGTGTGTCTGCCTATGTTTGTTGGTGTGTGTGCTCAGCAGGGCTCTGGCCTTCTGTCCTCCAGAGGACAGGGAGGAAATGTGAGGCCACTGGACCCAAGAAACGCATGCCTTCCCCCGCCACCGGAGTTGCTAAGGGGCTGCAGAGAGCCGATGTAAGTCAGAGAAGAAGAGGGCTCAACCCTAGGTGCTCAAAGAGACAAACTGTTCTTTTCTGACTGGCTTCAAGAAGAAGCATGGCAGATTTTGTATTATTGCCATCATATTTAAAGAAGGTCTTCACCAGTATTTTGACCCAATGGTGTCCTTAACATGTCCTGAAATGACATGTCATTTACATTCAAACACATTATATATATCACTGTCCTGCCTTGAAATACCAGCATCACTGCTTTTTTAGATAACCTGTACCTGTTTTTTCACCAGCAGAGCTTCAGTTCTGTCTTAGCACCCCCTGAGAACCAAAACAGGTTTGACAACCCAGTGAGGTGTTGGGGTAGAAAGCCCACTCTTGTCAGTGGTGCCAAATTAGGTGCCTGATATCAAAGACAGAATGTGGTCACCTCAGGCACACAGATCTGGATGTGTTTACTGTGTTTGTTTTGGTTCTGAATATAGTTGGTTGCTCGGTAGAAGCTTGAACTTTTAGAATCGATGTTTATTTTGGTACTGCTGTTGATTTTCTTTCTGTCAAAAGGGAGATATTCTTCCCACTGTCACCATATTTTTGCTAATAAGGTCATCTGATTGTTGGGGTTTTCTCTGCATTGTTGTAGGCTCCTTACTTTACAGTATGAAACACCTTGAAGCAACTGCTGGTGTGATTTTAGCACTATATAAATAAGAGTTGAATTGTATCTTTCCCTATTTGTTTTTTTTGTTTTTTCTTTAGCATTCTTTTGGTTCTTCAATTTGTTTGGTGGTTTATTTATTTATGTATTTGGAATTTGTTTACTGTATGTTTGAGTGGTTATTGAGGTTTTGTTTGCTGGGTTATTGACAGTGTGTGCGGGTATTTGTTTATGGAGTGTTTAGTAGTTTGTTCACAGTATGTTTATATGAGTTTGGTTATTTGTTGAGCTTCTGTTCTGTGGTTTGTTTACTGCACATTTGATTTTGCATTTTATTCTTCCTGTTCGTTTGTGTTTTGGTTGGAGAGTTTTTAGCGTGTGAGTTTATTGACTTCTTATTTTTTGTACGAGTCGTTTTGTTTTGGTTATTGTTTAGCATATGTGTAGTTGTTTGTTTGGCTGCGTGTTTGGTGTGTGTGTGTGTCGCAGTAAACAGTGACTCTCCTTCATCACAAGCTAACGAGTCTTGAAAACACACAGCTCTGGACAGTGGAGAAGCTAATTGCACTAATTAACCACACAGAGCGTGTGTGTGTGTGTGCGTGTGTGACACTATGTGTTAACATGTGTCTGAATGTACGTGCTCATATTTTGTGTGTTAATCTGTGTGTGTGTGTGTCTCTTTTCACATCCCATTAGACAAAGAGCTGTGCCCCTGCACCAAGGCATGCTGGGTAGATAATTAAACATGAGTCCCGGTGAGATCGCTTGTGACAGGAAAACACACACACACACACACACACACTGCAAGTATGTCAAGCAGAGCCCAGAGGGGTTATAATGTGTGTTTGTGTGTGTCAGTCAGTTAAATTAAATGATAAAAACTGCACCAGCCAGAGGAAACAAGCCTTCATGCATCTACTGTTTCTACTGTCCTCACTGCTCCGTTCACACAAACTTGAGCTCCTCCTGAATGAGCTCATGTCGGACGATTAGTAGGAACACGACTCTGACCTTCAGTTTATGCTGTTTTCACAGGATCTCATGTGGGCTGTCCCTTTGTGTGGTTCATGTTTTCACCGTTTCATTGCTGTAATGCTACTTTAATTTTTATTATGGCTTTGGGCATGGCATCACTGGTCTGTGGTTTGGTCTGCTAATTTGTTCTTAATAAAAGCCGTAGCATCTAAATTTATCCCAGACTTTATTCACCTCAGATGTCCTGTTCTAATAGAATCTGCAGGTTTTTTTCACGAGGTTTTCAAATCTTCTCACAACTAAGATTTTCAGTACAAAGCTACAAACACCAGATACAAGTTTAAAAGCTGGAATTTTCAGTGAGAACGCTCCAAATTGAATTTCCAAATTGGAAAGTTGCAGAAGTCACACCAGACCTGATTTGCAATCCAGCGAGTGTAAACTGGAGTTGTTGTGCATTTGTGACTTGCTAAATAATAGCGCACAACACAGAATAGAAGAGGCTCTGTCTGTCAGCACAGTTTTAAAGTGCAGAAAAACAGGCACTGAGTTGTACTTTAGGTAGTACTGTGGAGTAAAATAAACCTTTTTTTCCTACTACTACTATTGAAATGTGACCAGTGAGGTATGATGTCTTGACCCTCGAGTTAAAAAAATTCATTGTGACTTGGTAACATTAACTCCTTTGACTTTTGGCTTCACTACAGCGGATCATCTGCCTCCATCTCACCCACTTTAACAACATCCATGAATCTTCTCTGAGGTCTTCCTGTTTTCCTCTGGCCTGCCAGTTTCAATTATCCACCCTCCCTCCTCTGCACATGTACAAACCAATTCAGCCTCACCTCTCTAACCTGAGCTGTCCCTCCAATGTACTCGTTTCTAACCCTGTCCATCCTGGTTACTAACAATGACAATGTTAGCACCTTCAACTCTGTCACCTCCTGCTGTCTTTTTGTTCATACCACCTTCTCCAAATCAAAATCAAGCAGGAAGTGTGTAATGTTATCTTCCTGAGTATTTGGCGTCAGTTTTAATTCCAAAATCCAAACAAACTTTATAAATCCAATGTTCTGCTGACGTTAAACATAGTTAGATATTGGTCATACTCCGGTTTGTTCTGATAGAGGATAAAAATGAAAGAATCCCTTTGGCTAAACATGACAATCACAATTACATTATTTAAATAAAACCCTTTAAGTTAGTGTTTTGGATTGTCTTGATGCTAGCAGTGAAAAACAGAAGAATAAAACAGCAGAGTCAACTTTCTTGATGGAAACTGAAAATCTGAAGTTATACGGATGATAATAAACTTTTCAAGAGGCTTTGTGTCTTAGTGTAGCTGCTGCACCCTGTTGAAACATTAGCTGAGTGGACCTGTTGATTGACAGCTCCATCAGCGGCTGTGTTGTGGTGTTGGGTCATAGTGGGGCATAGTGTGATTTTGTTTGGGGGTCACTCAGGGCGCCACACTGGGGCCACTGTGCTTCTCC